TTTTTTTTTGAGAAGTTGGTCACCTTTATTACAAATAACCGAAGTTCAGAATTGTCCATATTTGATGGACATATTTAGCGTGGGGCAGAGGGCGGAACCCCAATTTGATGGACATATTTAGCGTGGAGCAGAGGGCTCAGTGGAAAACGTGGTCGTGCAGGCTGTTAGCCTGCGGTCTCGGCCATGGGGGCCCCTAACCGAAACTGGGTAATTTTCCAAGGAGGCCGTTCACATTAGCAAAGAGAACCTGGACTAAGCGCCAGAATCTGGATGTGTCTTAGGCAAAGATGCAGATAAACAGATCTATAACCATCAATCCGCATATCTCCACAAACACGTCCAGATTCCCGCGTTTAATCCAATCCTCTTGGCTAATGGGACCTTGCCACGAGCTTCACTGTGCTTTTTTTTCCTTTTTTTGAATCGAAACTATATATATATATATTAACTAAGGCACATTCGTCTCTCACATTCACCTTTCTGCTAAGGCACATTCGTCTCTCACATTCACCTTTCTGCTACGTACCTATCACTACTCCCACGCCTATAGGGGGGGACCCCTGCAAGCATAGCTGTCTTCGAACAATCATTTCTCAGCGCTAAGATGCTTCGGTTCAGATTTTTTTCAAAAACTGAGCCTAGTCCTTCGGGACATCCGTTAAAATTGGAACGATACAGAGAATGAAGATTAGCATGGCCCCTGCGCAAGGATGACACTCATAAATCGAGAAATCGTTAAAAAAAAAAAAAAAAAAAAAAAAAAAAAAAAACTGAGCCTAAGAATTTCAAAAAAATAAAAAGCAAGATTGATTTTATTATTTTATTTATTAAGAAAAACGTTGATTTTTTTAATTATTCAATTGTTTTTTTCACGTCTCAGGGCCTAAGCTTCCCTCGCAGAACCGTAGTTGTGTGTGCAGTGAAGGGCCTTGTGAACTGCAAAGATTCATCATCATCAGGCAAGGAGGAGGGGCATTTCATCAGACAACAACGTGCCTCTCGCCAGCGTATTTTAACCCTAACAAAAAGGGACGAGTAGGTAAAACAGCCCGTTTTCTGAAACCCAAATAAATACGCAATCCCTCTGCGCAAAGTGCAATGCTAATGTTCTCCGTATCGTTCCAATTTTAACACATATCCCTAAGCACCCCGTTTAAGTTTAGAATTCGCCTGGTGCCACCAAAAAAAAAAAAAAAAAAAAAATCGCCTGGTGGGTGTGCAGGTGCCGATGGCGAGTGGTGCACCAAGGCCCTCAGAGGCCTACTCTGACGGCGACTGCCATCCGCCGAGGTCCGCAATCCTTTTTTTTTCCTTTTTTTTTGGGGGGGGGG